GGGAATGTAAATTGGCATAGCCACTATGGAAAACACTATGAAAGTTCCTCAAAAAAACTACAACTAGAACTACTATGTGATCCCGCAATTCCACTCCAGGGTACAGATCCAAAGAAAAAGATATATGCACCTGTATGTTCATTGGAGTGATGTTTACAATAACTAAGATATGGATGCAACCTAAGTTCTCACTGATAAATGAATGGATAAAGATGTTGTATATACATATAGACACACACACACATAATGGAACTTAACCATAAAGAATGAAATTTTGCCATCTGCAACAACATGGATGGACTTGGAGGATATTATGCTAAGTGAAATAAGTCAGACAGAAAAAGACAAACACTATATGTGGAATATCCCTGGAGAAGGAAATGGCAGCTCACTCCAGTATTCTTGCCTGAAGAATCCCAAGGATAGAGGAGGCTGGCAAGCTACAGTCCATGGGGTCGCAAGAGTAGGACATGACTTAGCGACTAAACTACTACTACTATATGTGGAATTTAGAAAACAAAGCAAATTAACAAACATAGCTAAACAGAGTCACAGATGCAGAGAACAGTTGCCAGAGGGGAAGAGGGGGAGAAGAGAAATAAGTGAGGGAGATTAACAGGTAGAAACTTCAAATTACAAAAGAAGTGAGTCACAAGTACAGTGTTCAGTGTGGAGAATACAATCAATAATCATATAGTATCTTTGTACAGTGACAGATCATAACTAGACTTATCATGGTGATCATCTTGAAATGTATAGAAATATTGAATTATTATGTGATACATCAGGAACTAACCTAGTGTTACAGGTCAAGTTTACTTCAAAAAAAAAACAAACAAACTCCTAGGAAGAGAGATCAGATTTGTGGTTACCAGAGGTGAGGCATAGAGGCAGGGGAAGTTGGATGAAGGTAGTCAAAAAGTACAAATTTCCAGTTAAAAGGTGAAAAAATACTAGGGAGACAATGTATAACATGATTAACATAATTAGCACTTCTGCAAGTAATCCATGAAAGTTGTTAGGAGAGTAAATCCTAAGAGCTCTCATGACAAGGAAAAAATGTTTTTTTTTCTATTTCTTTGATTTTGTACCTATATGAGATGACGGATTTTCACTAAACATATTGTGGTCATCATTGCATGACATCTGTAAGTCAAATCATTATGCTGTATACTTTAAACTTCTACAGTGCTATATGTCAACTATATTTCAATAAAACTGGAAGAGAAAAAAATAAACAATCTTCATTTCATATGTGGGCTACCACCAAATTTTGCAAGAGTATTTAACAGAAGCATTCCTCTTTTAGTCTTGCTCCATAAATCCTGAAAACAAGGAAAAACACTGCCTAAGACTGACACTTGGCAAAGGAATCTGATAAAACCTGTCAGTTCTGTGCCACAGCATGACATCCTTGAAGGTTCCTGGTAATCCTGTGATTATTGAGCTTTCTGCTCTATCTCAGGCTGCATGTGCAAGACATGATTTCTTGTAGCTCACACACACTTGTCCACCAAGGCAGCAGCATCTCAGGGCCAGAAAAGACTCTATCTTGTTAGAGTCTCAGCAAGGCAAGAAAACACACACACACCCACAGAGAGAAAAACAAGAGCCAGCTATTCCCTCTGCAAAAAATGTGCCCAAGGGTTTGTGTTTCTCTCTGCGTATGTGTATGTTTTACATTAGCTACATTTATCATATGGAAAAACTGAGACATCAAGAAGTTAAGGAATTTCACCAATTTAACACATGAAAAGGTTGGAGCTGGGGGTTTTATTTTTTCCTTTACAATGAATTTAATGTACGAAAATAGGACTAGTACACAATCTGGCAAATGCCCCTGGTTAGGCAGAGTGTGGAATGTCTGAACAAGAGGCAGGATAAAAGTAAGGTGCTTATAAAACAGCATACTTGCAAAGAGCACAGGTCTAAAGTCAGAAGGTTCTGGGTCCTAGTTCCAGCTGACATACTAAAGAGCTGTGGGATAGAGGCAAGTCACTTCACCTTTTTGGTTTTAGTTTCCTTACTCAAAGATGGAGACTCAATAATAAAAGCATGCATCACCTACTTCCCAGAGTTACTGAGAAAGCTGTGAAAATACAAAGGCACATTTAAAAATCACATAACTCTTATTATATATGTGTGTGTGTGTATATATATATATATATGAAAGTGAAAGTGAAGTCGTTCAGTTGTGTCTGACTCTTTGCGACCCCATGGACTGTAGCCCACCAGGCTCCTCCATCCATGGAATTTTCTAAGCAAGAGTACTGAAGTGGGTTGCCATTTCCTTCTCCAGGGGATCTTCCCCACCCAGGGATCAAACCTGGGTCTCCTGCATGGCGGGCAGATGCTTTACCGTCTGAGCCACCAAGGAATCTCATATACACACACACACACACAAAGAGCATCCCAAAAATTACCTGCATGCACTCATTCTTGCTCAAATCAAATTTCTTTCCTCTTGCTAATAAAAGGATCAACTGGAATGTGAGATAACTTTGTGAATCAGGATGAACACAGCTCCTGGAGAATGTGCACAGCTGTTTTGAGGACATGTGATCCACTCTGTCANTTGCTAATAAAAGGATCAACTGGAATGTGAGATAACTTTGTGAATCAGGATGAACACAGCTCCTGGAGAATGTGCACAGCTGTTTTGAGGACATGTGATCCACTCTGTCACAGCCAGGCTTCTTTCAGTGCCGTAAACCAATGGACCCATTCCAGTTCTGCAGGGAGTCAGGCCCTAAGCCAATTACTTCAGGTTTACCAAACACTAACAAGGTGTTTAGAGTGCCCAGAACACTGAACACATCATGAACAGGCAAAAAGAGACACCAACCCACAGGACAACAGTTGTGGCAAAGTGTGAGAAATAAGATGGCGACATGGGTCACATTTAAAGTGGCTCCCGGATGCTCTCTTCTACACCCTTCTGGGTAAGCTCTTCCTGAACTCTCACCTGAGGAAAGTAGTCAACTGTCTTCAACAAATCATCACCCCTCCAGGAAATCTAAAGAAGAGACACCAGGACAAATCCCTCACTGGGCGTTACCACTCTCTCGGTGCTCCTGGTCGCCATGGTCTGCACTGCAGCTGGAGCTCGCTCTGAAGTCGGCTGTTTCCTGCTCACTCTCCCATTTTCCACCCTTCACATTCATCTGTTCTAGAACCTGAGTAAGCCCTTCAAACTCTGTCCAAAAGGACCATCACATGGTTGAATAACTACAAGGATGATTAGAACCATCAAAGAAAATATACCTAGAAAGCGCTGCCTGGACTCACCGGACTTGTCAGAAAAGACACTTCAGGGAAAATGTTCACAGAGCAGTCCACAGGACTGGGACTGGTGACTGCCAACACACAGTACAACAGGATGCAACTTTATTGTGTATCAGAACCATCCAGAGGTTGCAGAAAACCCAAGGTTCCCGTGGCAGTTGCTGATGCTGGTTTCCAGAGACCACACTTGAAAAATCTGTCATGGTAAGTGGGCAAGGGCTACCCAGTCGGTCATCCCCATGGGGGCAACTTCAGCTCCTGATTCATCCTCCTCCATCCCCAAACTAAGCCTTAAGAAAACTCATAATAGGAATTAAACAGTCAGCCCTCCTCCTCCCTTCTCCTTGCCCAGACGTACAGCCATGCAGCCACGGATGAAAAGAACAACTGTCCACTCATTCCCCACAAGTATCTCCCGGGTTGAGTCCTGTCCTCCCCTGTGTACTACATGGTTTTGCAAAAGGAGTGAGTTATGATGCCAAATAGAGGATGTGGAGTTGCAGGAAGTGCATTCGGGTTCCCCAGGTCCCGTTCCCTGAGTGGTGCAAGTTCCTAACACTCAGTGACAGAGCACGCCAGTGGAACAGTGCCAGGGAAATGCTCTGACCTGGTTCTCTCCTCACTCGTTTTTCCTGATGCTCTGCCACAATGCACTGTGATTTCCCGCTGAGAACTCACTTCATGTCACCAACAACCCAGTACAAAAAAAACCAGTGCGTGGTCCCAAGCATACTGCATCTCAAGGCAGGAGTGGGCGTGGGGTAGGGGGTGGGGGTGGTGTGGAATGGTGGCAGGGCCAATTCCCTTCAGAGCAGGATCAGAGGGGTTTTGCCCTGGAAGGGACTATTAGAAATATTTCTTTCCTTCCCAAAGTTGGTTGTGTTATATATTGCACTATTTCACTAACAGGGGGAGTTGCTGCTACAATAATATTGTTTTGTTTTAGGGAGTGTTAACGGAAGTTCCCACAGAGAGTCGCGTTGTGAATAAGGTAAACACTCAGTAAGAGAGCATCATACAACTCTCTTCTATGTTCAAATGTGGAAATCCGGCCAACGTTCACCATACAATCGGCTTGGCCTTTTCTGGCCCTCAGACAGGGGAGGTTTACATATATTTGGGGCTGTAACTGTGGGCCTAAAAACCACCTTCAGGCTAAATAAGGAAAAAGAATGAAGGGTGATTCATTTGCAACGTTTTGGTAAATATATTTACATAGTGTGTGTGTTTGCAAATACCTGGTCTTTGCAAAGATTTTTCTGGACACAAATAAGCATATTTGGTAGAACAAATGTGACTTTGCCCCCCAAGAAAAAAAAACTCTGACTAGCTCTTTCACACATGCAGAAGGGAAACAGTTCCCAGGCTCTGAGAGCCTCATCTGGTGTAAACCCCATGAAGTCTTGGGAGTCGAACATTTTCCAAAGCAGTAACACTAATACAGTCTCCACTGATCCCAAATTTAGGAATTAATCTCAGATATACCATGTTCAAGACACAGACCTCAAGTCCAGAAAGCTCTATTTAGAAAATTCTGGAGCAGGAGAGCTCAGCCACTCAGAATACTGCACCATATTGGCAGCGGCCTCAAGCCCACTAATTTAAAAATCTTGCCTTCTCCCTACCCTCCCCCAAATCCACTTACTTGCATGCACAGATGAAGCCATGCAAGAGCTGCCTTCATACTCAATGCCCTTGCTGGTTCTTATCCTCACCTGTTTTCCAGGAGCGTCATGCACACCACCTCTCGCACCCCGGGGTTGTTGGCCTTCTCCACCGAACAGCCCTGCAAGTTCCAGGTGGCCAGCCTCAGCACAGGCCGCCCGTCCCTCGTGCCTCCAAAGGCCTCCACCGAGGGCCTCGTGGAGATGATCTGAGTCGGACCCCCAGGCGGCAGGTCCAAGTCTTCACTCTGCAAGCTTAGTGAGGTGGGGCTGGGGTGAGGCTTGGCGGTGAAGGTCAGACCGCCGTTGGTGTGGGTGGACGGGGGCCTGGACCTCTCGGCAAACACCTGGTGCCGTATCCTGTCCAGGAAGGCGGCATTGATCCCGCCCATCCTCACCAGGTCCTCGACACTGCGGAAGGGCCCATGCTCACGGCGGTAGTCCACGATGCTGACGGCCATCTTCTCCGTGAGGCCCCGCACGCTCATGAGCTGGGCCGGGGTGGCTGTGTTGATGTTGACACGCGGGGTGAGAGGCACAGCGGCGGCGGTGGCCAGGTGGTGAGGCTGCTGCTCTGCCATCAAGTCCCTCCGCAGGGAGCTGGGGGAGTGCTGCGCCGAGCTGCCCTTGCTGCTCACGCAGATCTCAAACTTGACCTGCTCCAGCTTGGTGGCACCCACGCCACTGACAAGGGCCAGGTCCTCCACTTTCTTGAAGCCACCGATGTACTCGCGGTACTCCACAATGCTCCTTGCCACCGCGCGCGTCACCCCAGGCAGGGTCATCAGCTCCTCCTCCGTGGCGGTGTTGATGTTAAGTCTCTCCTGGTTGACCAGGATGTTGCTGAAGTTGCAGGCTGCGCTGAACTTGCGACTATCCCATTTAAACTCTCAGGCAAAAGGGAGTAGGCATCCCCACTCCCCCTGCTCCTGACACAGCACCACCAGCAACTTTGGAATTCCATCCTCACTAGTGCGGGCTCAGAGAAAGGGTTTATCATCCTCTACCAGATTCGGCGCCGTTCCTGGCGCCCCACCTCTCAGCTGCTCCTCCGGGGCGTCCTCCTTCCACCTGCGGCTCAGAAGCCTGAGCCCAGCCCGGGACAGCGCCGGCGCAGGTGCTGATCAGTGGCTGGCCGCGGGATCCCTCCCACGCCACCTCGGGCCGCGCGTCCCAGCTGTTTCTGCTGGAGAAAACTCTTGAGTGGCTCTCCCAGAACCGGCAGGAGCTGCAGGGCTTCGCAGAGGCGGCAGCGGCGGTAAAATCCGGCAGCTGTGGCTGCACCAAGTCTTGCGGCTGCACCAGGACTGGCGGTGCTGCCGCAGTTGCGTTGATCCAAACGAAAAGTCCTTCCCCCGACTCGGACGCGGGATCCGCCAGAATCGGGTCCAGAGCCCAGCACCAAAGGCACAACCGCCGATCGCCGTCTGTGTCAAAGCCAAAGTCCCGGCCGCCAGGCCCGCGCCTCCTCCCGCACTACGGCCACACCTCCTCGCGAGCGCCAACCCCTCCCCCGGACTCCGAGGGCACGTGGGGGCGGGGCCGGAGCTCTAGGCCGGGACACCAGGGCTTCAATCCCGAGAGCGCAGGGCTGGCCCTGATGTTCAGGAGGCGGGGCCGCGGGGTGCGGGGGCGGGGCCAGGACGTGAGGTGGTGGAATGCAAGGCCCAAGAGTGTGAGAGGCGGGGCTATGCTGCGAGAGGGCTGGCCCCAGCGCGAAGAGGTGGTGATGGAACCCTGAAAGCAGAAGCGGGGCCCGGGCGGAAGGGGGCGGACCCCGCGAGCGTAGAGGCGGGACTTAGAGGCTGAAGAGGCGGGGTCGACGCCACAGCGGCGGGTCACCCACAGGCTGTCCTGCGGTCCGCTCCCTCTGAGCTCGGGTTGCTATCGGGGACCAAAGGCTGGCTGTACGGGTACGGGATAGAGGATTTTTAGTCTCGCCCTAGCCGGGACTCTCCCAACAGCTTTTCGGTGGGCTGCAGCTAGGGGTGCGGCAAAGGCTACAGGGCCGTCAGCCCAAATTTAGTCCGTCTTTGGGGCGTGGGGACAGGCGAAGACACTCCCTGTGTGGGAGGCACACCTACGGGTCGGGAGCCTAGCCTGCGTTCTGAGAACATTCGAGGACTGAATGGGAACTTTTTGTCTTCCGCCGCCCTCTTTCGTCGTCCTCTTTTCTTCCTCTTGTGTATTATCTTTACTCTGCTTACGTACAACCCTAGCAACTCCATGCTACTAGGAGAGGGCGCGCACCGCCGGTTAGACCTGTGTTCGCGTAGGTCACTTACTGCGTTGCTCATTTGCACGTTTAGCGCTCTGAGTAAATATGGATATTTTCTGTAAGTATTAAATCTAGTTATTAAGGAGGAAGAACATGCCAGTTGGAAATGGAAGCTGGCTTCCCAAAATTCAGAAGGGTTTTTGAATCATGCCAATAAATGACACTTTAAAAATTAAAGTCGGCTGTATTACAGCGGATACATAGAGCTAGAGTATTCCATTAAACAAACCCAGAGGTGATACCACTGAACACTTTGATCCTGGGTGTTCAGTGACCTCTGAAGTTTCATCCCCAATCAATGTGACCGGTGTTTCTGTTTTAAATCCCCCAGGCTAGGTCAGCAAAAACCAACTCTCAGGGACGGCAGAGGTACTTCAGATGTGAAATGTGAGCCAACCAAGATTTGGCAAAATGCTATCGCCTTTATATGTATACTGGTTGGGACTCTTATGAGAACATTCGAGGACTGAATGGGAACTTTTTGTCTTCCGCCGCCCTCTTTCGTCGTCCTCTTTTCTTCCTCTTGTGTATTATCTTTACTCTGCTTACGTACAACCCTAGCAACTCCATGCTACTAGGAGAGGGCGCGCACCGCCGGTTAGACCTGTGTTCGCGTAGGTCACTTACTGCGTTGCTCATTTGCACGTTTAGCGCTCTGAGTAAATATGGATATTTACTGTAAGTATTAAATCTAGTTATTAAGGAGGAAGAACATGCCAGTTGGAAATGGAAGCTAGCTTCCCAAAATTCAGAAGGGTTTTTGAATCATGCCAATAAATGACACTTTAAAAATTAAAGTCGGCTGTATTACAGCGGATACATAGAGCTAGAGTATTCAATTAAACAAACCCAGAAGTGATACCACTGAACACTTTGATCCTGGGTGTTCAGTGACCTCTGAAGTTTCATCCCCAATCAATGTGACCCGTGTTTCTGTTTTAAATCCCCCAGGCTAGGTCAGCAAAAACCAACTCTCAGGGACGGCAGAGGTACTTCAGATGTGAAATGTGAGCCAACCAAGATTTGGCAAAATGCTATCGCCTTTATGTGTATACTGGTTGGGACTCTTAATTGCAGATGACAGAAATCCAAGTCAAACTAGCTAGACAAAAAAAAGGGCATTTCCTGGTTTTTGTGGGGGAAAGTGAGGGAATAGATCTTATCTATGTTCCTCTTGACTGCATGCAGCCCAAAAGTCAACAGGATCTTGTCTGACCCCCTTTATCTCCTCTACTTGCTTCCTTGCCCTAGCACTGGGCTACATTATGCCACTTCTTTCCTCCTGTAATCCTGTTGTGATAAAGAAAAAAAAATTTAACCGGAAATATCTTAAGAGGAGGGAGAAATCTTTGTTGATCAGAATACCTTAATGGGCCTTTGTGGCTGTAGATGGACAGCCTAGGGGCATTGCTAGTTGGGCTGGAACATTTTTATTGTTTAATCTAGAACACTTTGGAGGGTAAGAGGGAAACTATTAACTTCACTGGCACAGCAGACATAATCTGGTTTTGTTTCCTATAAACAGAAGTGTATGTTCCACCTTTTAGAAATGAGGCCAGGGACTTTCCTGGTGGTCCAGTAGCTAAGACTCTGCGTTCCCAATGCAGGGGCCCTGGGTTTGATCTCTCCTTAGGGAACTAGATCCCACATGCTGAAACTAAGAGTTCACTTGCCACAACTAAGAGTTTGCAAGCCACAATTAAAGATTCTGCATGCCACAACTAAGACCTGTCACAGCCACATAAATAAAAGTACTAAAAAAGAAAGAAAAGAAATGAAGCCATTAGTGGCTAAACTACTGTGNAGACTCTGCGTTCCCAGTGCAGGGGCCCTGGGTTTGATCTCTCCTTAGGGAACTAGATCCCACATGCTGAAACTAAGAGTTCACTTGCCACAACTAAGAGTTTGCAAGCCACAATTAAAGATTCTGCATGCCACAACTAAGACCTGTCACAGCCACATAAATAAAAGTACTGAAAAAGAAAGAAAAGAAATGAAGCCATTAGTAGCTAAACTACTGTGCATCGAAACAAGCAAAAATCACAGCAGGATGGCTAAATTTTGAATGATTGACCATACCAAATGTTGGTGGGAATGTGGAGCAATTGACTCTCGCATACATTGCTGGTGGCAGTGTGAGAAGAAGATACAACCATTTTGGAAATCAGTTTGGCAATTTCTTAAAAAGCTCAACATACATCTAGCATGAAAAGTTAAATATCAGTCACTCATGTCTGACTCTTTGAGACCCCATGGACTATAGCCTGCTAGGCTCCTCTGCCCATGGGATTCTCCAGGCAAGAATACTAGAGTGGGTAGCCATTTCCTTCTCCAGAGGAGAAGGATCAAGCCTAGGTCTCCTGCATTGTGGGCAGACTCTTTAGCATCTGAACCACCAGGGAAAAACCCAACAATTCCATTCCTAAGTATTTACCAAGGAGAAATGAAAGCATAAACCCAGTCTTGCACATGAATTTTAATAGGAACTTTCTTATTTAGCAAAAACCGAGAAACAATTTAAATCTACCAGTAGAGAATGGATAAACAAATTGTGGTATATCATCCATACAGTAGAATACTACTCAGTAATAAAAAACTATTAACATCCACAATATTGAAGATCTCAAAACCATACTGAAAGAAAGCCATGCCCCCTCCCAAAAAACCTAAATATTTTATGATTCCATGGAAAAATACAAACTAAATACAGAGAAAGCAGATCAGCAGTTTCTTGGGGGTAGGATTTATAGGTTAAAAAAGGACACAAGGAAACTTTGGGGGATGATAGAAATGTTTGGCATTTCATGGTTGTATGCATTAGTATGTCAAAACTGATAAAATTGTACTCTTTAAATATGTGCAGTTTAGTGTGCTTCAGTCAGACCTCAACAAAGACTGGGAGGAAATCTTAAAAAAATAAAAATAAAANAGAAATGTTTGGCATTTCATGGTTGTATGTATTAGTATGTCAAAACTGATAAAATTGTACTCTTTAAATATGTGCAGTTTAGTGTGCTTCAGTCAGACCTCAACAAAGACTGGGAGGAAATCTTAAAAAAATCAAAATAAAAAGGAGTACTCTTTCAACTTAAAGGGAAAAAAGAAAGGATAGTATAATTTTAGGGAAGAGGGATATGTGACCCAGGGTGGAGAAGAGGAAGTTGAAGGGGAACAAGGGTCCAAGAAGGCGAGTCTGGAGCTAGTAGAAGAGACCCGTGAACATCCCCAAGTTAGGATCGGGGACCCAGAAGGCCAGGTGTCATGAAACAGAATACAAATGCCTTGTTTTAAGCTTATAAATACTGAAGTGGTTGCCTCACAGCAAAGTATATCATATAGATGTGATCCTCAGGTCTTGTTTCTCCAGCAAGAAAAGCCAGTGTCATGGCTCCACATGTTGTCCCCTTTACAACTCATTGACCTTTGTCTCATTCTTAGGAAAGTTTCACCAGGCTTTGATTTCCTCCAAGAAAAGTGGTTTTTGTTTTTATTCAATTGGGTCATGAGAAAATTTTGGCAAGGGCCTATCTCTTGCCCAGTGGTTAATGAGTGTCTTGTGACAGCTGTAGCAATAAAGCAGGGTAGTTTTTTTAAATGATTATGTTTAAACAAAATGTTTCATATATATATATATATATAGGCTGTACTGGGTCTTGGTTGCTTCGTGGGATTTTCTCTAGTTGTGGACAGCAGGGGTTACTCTCTAGTTGTGGTGCTCAGGCTTCTCGTTGTAGTGGCTTCTTTTGTGGAGCATGGGTTCTACAGTACATGGACTTCAGTAGTTGCAGCTCCCAGGCTCAAGAGCACAGGCTCAATAGTTGTGGTGCACAGGTTTAGTTTCTCTGCAGCATGTGTGATCTTCCTGGATCAGGGATCTAACCCATGTCTCCTGTGTTTACCCAGGGAAGCCCCCCAAATAAGCTTTTTTATTGCATTTATTTCTACTAAGCTGTTTCCCCTCCTCCACAAACACAGAAGACAGGATGGAGAAGAGCAGGGAAGAGGAGAAATGCCCAGGGTAACAGTCTAACCTCAGAAGTTCAACCAGGCTCAGGGCACGGGCTGGCCTGGGGCTCCAGCCAGGGTCTTCTCCTCATCTCCTTACTGCCCCATGGCAGTCCTTTGAACTGCCAGTTATCTTGGATACTATGCTTTTGAA